CCCCCTCCCCCTCCCCCTCCCCTCCTCCTCCCCTCCGGCTCTGGGGAGCCCCGCTGACTCCGCACAAGCGCTCGGACAGCACCGCACCCCCTCAGCGCAGTGGGGGGCCCGCAACGTGACTGGCACGAAGATACAACGTGTTCTTTTCTTGCAGTATTGGGGCTGGAGCCCATCTTTACCCTGAACTTCATCCCTGCTCCCTTGGAAAGAAAAAAATTTTTTGGACACAGCATTATGGCTTGTGACTGATGTCCCCCGCAAAGCCTCAGGCTCCCATAGGTGGGGCTTTTTCAGAGGTGGCTGGATCTAGGGCGCATGATGCTGGGATGAACTGTCATTTGCACCGTCCTGATCCCTGGTACCCTAGAATATAAAAGAGGCAGAAAGACGCAGTTAAGAGCTGGGTGTGGTGGTGCACACCTGTAATCTCAGCACTTGGGAGGCTGAGGCAGGAGGATCCCCCGTGAGTTTGAGGCCGGCCAGGGTTACATAGTGAGTTCAAGGCCAGTATGAACTGCATAGAGAGGCCCTGTCTCAAAAAACAGAAACAAAAACAAAATCTATGGTCCCTTGTTGCTTTGCTGCCTTCTGCCCACCATGAACTGTTTCTCCCCTGCAACACCTCTCCGCCACACCACCCTGCCGTGGAGCCAGCCCACTATGGACTGAAACCTCTACAAACTGTGAGCAAAATAAACCTTCCTCCTCGAATTCTGGGCGTCAGGTATCTTGTCTGAGCAACAAGAAAAGTAGCCAAGACAGGGTCTCTCTGAGTTCCCCAGGCTGTGCTAAAACTTGCAGTCCTTCTGCCTCAGCTTCCCGGAGGGCTGGGCTTACAGTCAATGCCTAGGTATCTTTATTAACGGAGTCTATTAAACATTTAAGGAGAAAGTAATTCTGTCCTACAAAAATCCGCAGGAAGGGCAAAGGAGAGGGTGCATTTCTCTATAGAAACTCAGACAATGACTTTAGTCTCCTAGTTTCCAGTTCATGAGCACGTGTCTGCAGTACGTGCTTGCGACATCCCTTGCGGGCCATGGTGTGTGCTCGGCACACCTGCTCCTCCTCCGCCCCTCCCCTCCTCTTCCCGCTCGTTACTGTCTGCCCTTCGGTCCGTTCTGCAGTCGCAGTTCGGGGCCCTCGTATCAGAGGAGCCACGCAGCGTTGGAGCTGAGTGTCTGAATGCCTCACCGAACGTTTTGGTCTCAAGGTGCCTCCGTTTCCCACGAGGACTCGGACTTACCTTCTTTACGGCAGACTAGTGCTTCGCTGTGTGCAGTACCGCATTTTCCGTACGCAGTCGTCTGCCGAGGGACACACGGCTGCTCCCAGGGCTCGGCTGCTCGGAGCTGAGCTGCTGTAAACACGGGTGTGCACGGACCCCTGTGATCGGAGTGACTCTCCTGACGAAACACCTAGAAGGGGAGCAGCCGGGTGAAATGCAATCTCTATTTTTAGTTTTTTGAGGAATCTCCACGCTAATTTCAGTAGTGGCTGTCGTGGTTCACATCCCCACCAACGGCGTAGAGGGGCTCCTGTCCCCCACACCCTCGCCAGCGCTCGCTGGTACTGGGTTTCTGGGTGACGTCCGCTCTCTCGGGGAGTTGTTTCACTTCGCTTTCGTCTCATGGCCAGCGTGGCGAGTGCTTCTCCGTGTATCTGTGGGCCCGTCTTAGTTCTTACTCTGAGAAGGGCCTGTTAGTATCACTTGTTCATTTTGGAGTGGGATTTTCACTGTGCAGGGCCGGATGTTTCTGAGCTCTTTCTGTGTGGCCCTTGTCACTCCTCTGTCTGAGCAGTACCGCACACATTTCCCCATTCTGGAGGTTGAACCTCACTCTGCTGGTTGTTCTGTGCAGTGCAGAAGCTTTTCAATGTCAGTGTGATCCCGCTGGTTGTTTCTTGGTACTATCTCCTGGGCACCCAGGCTCTGTTCAGATCGACCTTGCCGGGCTGGGATGCAGCTCCGCGGCACAGCGCCCGCCTGGCAAGTGCAAGGTCCTGAGTTCGATTCCCAGTACCAAAAAAAATAAATAGCAGAAAGACCTTGCTTACATATGACTTTAGTGGTTTTACCCATTTTTCTTCTAGCCTAACATTTAGATCTTTGACTCATTTTGATTTAGTTTAGTGTATGGTGAGAGATAGGGGTCTAGATTCAATCTTCTGCATGTGGGAAGCCAGTCTTCCCAGCACCGTTTATTAAAGAGGCTGTCTTTCTCCCAGGGTGTGTTTTGGGCCCCTTTGTCAAAGATCAAATAGTTGAAGGTGCCTGGGGTTGTTTCTGAGCACTGTATTCTGCTGCACTGGCTAGTTTGTCTGTTTTTGTACGGTGCCGTGCTGTTTTTATCACTGTAGCTTTGTAATGTAACTTCCAATCCGAGACTGTGTTGCCCCCACTTTGCTCCTGTTACTCAGGATTGCTGTTCCTATTCTGGATTTCCTCTGGTTCCGTATGAATTTCAGGATTCTTTGGTTCTGTGAATGGTGCTATTGGTATTTTGATTGGGACTGTGCTAAATGTGTGTATCAGTTTTGGACATCTGGCCATTTTGACTGTTTTGTCTCAGAACAGGAGCTATCTTTGCCTTTGTCGATGTCCTCTCTGAGCTCCCTTTTCATCATAGCTCTGGAGTTGTCATTGTAGAGGTGTCTCTCTCTTCCTTAGGTTAATTCCTAAGTGCTTAATTTTT